TAATGAGCTAGCTCATGAAACCAAACCTTGTTTTACAAATAATATATCAATCATTCCGTTGTATGTTCAATACACTTATTTTTTACGATAAACATATTTTTGTGGTGTAACTCTACCAGGATGTGGCGAATTGCAAAGTTTGGATGAAACCAACATGGCAACAAGGTCATATTTGGTCAGAAACAGAGTGCATGCTTTACACAATAACAGTCTAGCGAGAGCAAGCAAGGGCTTGTTATGTTCCTCACATTGTCTTGCTGACACAGATAGAACATGTGAGACATTGTATAAGTATAAGACACTGAAAGGTCCATGTATATTACAACTGCTCGCCAACTTGTAGGAGCTTTTTATCGCATAAGGCATTCACTCTGTATTCGGCCTTTGGCTTTGGCAGGCAAATATACTTGTATTATGCAGCAATGGATGATATTTTGTGAAAGATTTGGAAGTCCTGCCTCCTCGATAATCTTGCAGTGTTGGTATGGGCTTCTGACTCTGTAACATACATGTCTATTTCCTTCTAAAATTATTCGGACCCTTGCCTTGGCGCTCATATGATCTAATGCAAATGCAAGCGTCGTAAAACCTTATAAAACTAACTAAAGACCCTTCCTTTCAACAGAAAAGCGGGATTTGGAAGTCCAAAAATGTCATCTAGGACTCATCCTGGAAGAGCGGCATCAAGTGTATATGCAGTCTAGCACTCACATAGTGAAATTGGCGGCATGCGGAAATGTTTTCGCTTTGTGCGAATTTCGCTATGTTTGCATGTTAAATACATGCAAGGAATATATATATGAGAAAAAATTTCTGGACCTCAATATCTGTTCTCTATGTGCTTGCTAGACTGTATATGCCACTGTAAATGTTTTCTTTTCCTCTTGTTATCATTGTATCATAGACTGAAGCTTGTGGGAGAATGATACTATTTGTCAATCACATACTGTGTGTATATGCCACTGAAACATATTTCCCCCTTCTGTGTTGTTATTGTATTATAGACTCAAGCCTGTGGGACTGAAAAAGCAACCCGTGAAATGGAGATGCGGTGCAGACTATGAAATATATTTGAATTATTTGGTTACAATGATCATGTGTTGCATTTTGTTCTGTGTTTGAAGAGAGAAAGGCAAAACTAGTGTTGTTTGAATATGGTGTGACGGTTTTATAAAACAGACAGTGGAAAGAAACACATTAACTTGTACATTAATATTATCTTTTCAAGTCCTTTTCTTCTAATAGGGTTAGAGGATGCTTTATATACAGTTTGGCAAGCACAGAGCAAAATCGACGGGAAGCGGTAATCTTTTCGTTACACATAATATATGAATTTCATTATCAATGTGTTTAAAATACAGATAATAATATACATGTATAAGTCGGGACATGAAAATCAGTTTGGTATGTAATGTTTCCCTATGTCCGTGATGGCTGTGTGCTTGCTGGACTGTATATGGTCATCTTTAAGGCATTGAGAGGTCCCTTGCCAAACTAGCTATTCTGTCACTAATGAAAAGGAAGAGCAGTATGTCTTTGGATCTTTGCTCAGACTTGGTGGAAAGCTGGTTAGAGAAGAGGGGAGGTTTAGCTCTTAGTGGGGTCTTTTTTTTTTCACTTTCTTTCGCCTAGGTCCTTTCTGTCTACACCCCCCCGGGGCAGTGCCACTGACTGTTGTGTCTTTAGGCCATTCCCAAAGGGGGGACATTTCTTGTTCAAGCACTGTAGAATTGTAAATGGGCTGATTCATCATGTCACGCTCATAACTGTGCCTGATCTGCAACAGGGAACTGCTGCTTTTTCTCTCCTAATCCTTACTATTGTCATTTTCCTCTACTTCTTTTGTATGTTTATCACTCTCTTGTGACCCGCTATTTCCGGTGTCTCTTGATAGTCGAAGCAGACTTTGTGCTGTTGAAGCTGGAGAGGTGAGCAGAGTAAGTCTGATTCCCTGTAAGGACTTCTCTGTTGACACCCACCCCTTGGCGCTCATATGACCTTATGCAGTTACGAGCGCGGTAAAACCCTGTTCTATTAACTTTCTGTGTACAGTCTGACAATGTGTTGCCTCAGAACTATTTTGTCCATAGTGTACTTAATTAAGTAAAGAGGAACTACTTTGGACAAAATAGTTCAGAGACGACGAATGGTCGGGGTCCACATTCTTTGTCACCGACATGACCAAATCTTGAGTTTTGAAACATGAAAAGGTAAAAACGTTATGTTATTGTTGAAATAGTAAAGACTTTATTCTTTTTAATAAAAGATTAAATTCCAGAAAATCTTGTACAGTGGGTGTCGCATTCAACGTTGTTGTCCTCCTTGGATCCGACCTCTCATTGAACGTGACTAAGGTTAAAGTAAAGAAAGGAGACAAGTTATTATATCAGATCTATAGGATGTTCCAATACCAGTTATTAAAACAGTTGTTCCCCCTGATGACGAAAATATCAAATAGCATCAGTGTGCACGTGTTTGAGCTGTGTTCTGACCGTCATTTCTGCATTTAAAAAATATTTTTTCCTGAACACTTCTCGTGTGGAAACATACCCTCTCACATCTAGGCTTAGATCTACATAAAGTAAATGCGGGAGCTTGGATTTTCTGATCAGGGGAAGAAAAGAAAATTGAAAAGAAATGAAGGTGTCGGTCAAGAGTAATCTAGACCTACCCATCCAGAGTTCATACAGTTTCACACAGCCCTCATTGCGTTCCCACCCACCCCCTCCCATCCCTACCATAGGCTAACCCTCGCCCATCCTCTTGGCTTTGGGGCCCAAATTAGAAGGCAGGCTAGTTCTTGCAATACAATGTGTTAGGAATCTGTGATGGGCCTTGTGCTTCGCGTGAGAAGGAGAGAAAGGAGAAAAAGTCTTCGCTTTTGGGGCCACTAATTGCTTTTTTTTATTATCGCGACCTCATTGAAAGCGACTTTGGTCTGTTTGCAACCTCGTTGGAGCCGACGTACATTTACAAAGAGATATAGAGGGGAAAAAAAGGGGATTAAAGATTGCCTCGTTGGAGCCGGCTTCTCATTGAATGTGACCTCGTTGAATGCGGCACCCACTGTAATATTATTATGATATCTGATGGGCACGTGCGCCCTCACACATACTCCCTCACACATACACTCTCATACATCATGATATATAGTTGTACAGTATGAACATAAGTAGATCTCAACCTTTCACTTAACTCAAAAGGACTGAATGATATCAGCACTTGTGTGTACAGACAAGCAAATACTGTCACATGAATGCAAGGACAAGCTAATGTACATCCATGTACCAGAAAAGTACATTAATAAAAAATTCAAAAGTATGGGAGCATAACAAGGAAATGCTTCCCCAAAAATGATCACATAGGCTACCTCTACAAGATCAAGTACTACACAATGATTTTAACATATTATTTTAATTATCAAATATCAGTTTGCAGTGAGGAGACATCTAAATTGACTATGTTGGCTAAGTATTAGACAGTGATACTTTAATTACCAGAACCTTTTTAAAAACAGCATTAGTTTTATAATACAGTAGAACATGGCTATAGCGGGACTTTTAGTTCCAGAAGAACAATCTTTCTGTAGGTAAGTTCCCACTATATACATGTAGGAATGCAAAGTGGAATTGCCCCCCCCCCCCCCCCCACACACACACTACACACTCCTCTTCTCTTCGTTTACTTTCTTTTTTGCCTAGCCTACGGCACATTGCTTTTGGAGTGACTCACGTAACACGTCTCTCCGCACCATCTCTCTCTGCCCCACCTCATTCATCACTGGACCAGCCAATCACAATGCCACACCGCTGACTGCCTGTTTGGAGCGCACCTACAGCCCCCCCCCCCTAACCTCTTTTCGGAGGGTAAAGACCCCCTTTGCCTTGATCTCATCGACAAAAAAAGGGGATTCTTATAAGGTCCAGCTGTAGGGATGGTCCCGCTATATTCATGTGCGACTGTATGTGTATGCAAGTATTCAAGATACCCATTTGAAAGCTCAATTTAAAAAAAAAATGTTTTTTTACACTTCCACCAACACAATTTAGAACATTTAAGGGGTGAGCTTTGACCCTGTCTCCAAGGGCTGAGAAAATACAATGTCCGAGCAGAAAGACAGATAATAATAATATATAACATTTACTTAGTCTAGATACTTACTCCTTCCCAAGCAGGACTCAAACTAGTGTCCTCTGCCTACGACAGAGAAGCACCTAACTGTCCCCATCGTTTTATGAAAGAAAAATTCTGAAATTATGTAAAACTGAACCCAAAAATGTGAAATTATGCAATTCTGTTAATTTTAACAAAGAATGATAAAGGAAAATAATAAGAAATTATGCAAAAAATGATAAAATTTTGCAAAATTATGCAGGGTGCATAAAACCACGGGGACAGACCTAACCACTACACAAAATACGCCTCATTGAGTAAAGCTTTATTAAATCAGGCGTTACATGCTCTCTAAATGGCTTCCTCAAGCAAAACCTTGCCATATAGTTCAGCAGTCACTGAACTCTGTTAATTATATATAACTTAAAAGTCGGAAGATTGCAAGGAGAGATTTAGGGCAGAACAAAGGGGACAGGACTGAGGAAGAAACTACGCTACCTTGGAATTACAAACTTCTGACATTTTTGGCCCTTTTGAGTAATTAAGGTGGGTGGTTGGCGGGTGCTCTGGTGTGGTTTGCTTCTTCTTTCCTATGAAACATCTATCGTCCTTATCTTCCCTTCCTTCTTTTTTTATGTTTGTTACTCTCTTGTAACACCTCTAATCTTCTGGCGCTCACGACTCACATGACCTTATGCAGTTGCGAGCGCTGAAAAAACCTCTAATAAAACTAAACTAAGAGTAATTAAGACCATGGGCATCAGGTCAGAAACCCAATATTTTATCAGTGCTATTAAAATTGTAAGATTATTCGGAGTCGTTATCAAGATATTCAAATAGTTGTGATCTTTTGATATCAAGCTTGACAAGTTGTGAAACTCAAAAAATTTTTTTCGGCCAATTTCTCAAAACTAGGTACTGAGCAGATAGAACTTTGTAATTCTAGGGTAGCGACTAATCTACGGAGATGACATCTGTCTCATTATTTTAAAAAGAGAAACTGATCAAATTTTAATGATCTAGCAGAAGTGATTATTACGATGAAGCATTTTTAGACTTTAGTCCAAAGTAAACCAGGGGGCACCGTTAGCTTGGTGTCATGCTTGACTATGGAGTGGATGGCCCTGGCTTGAATCCCCAATGGGTGTTCTGAATTTTTTAATGCTTTTTTGGAGAGTTTTTAAGGCTCTTCGTCTATTTGGCCCTGTCCTATCAGAGATGGACCTTAAGTTCGTGGGTCCCACCGCTTAACCCTATCTGTACGTCGTGTTTTACTATCGTATCCATATGATGTGGGGAACTCTGTGCCACCACTTTCAAAGAGGAAATTTACCTGTTAATCCGATCTGTGCGCTTTGCGTAGCCGTCTGTCAAAATGATTTTTTGAGAAATACTGAAAGTTTCAAAGAGATCTCCGAACTAGAAGTATTCTAAAATGTGAAAAAAACAACCCAGGGGCACAAAATGACCCCAGGGCGTACAGATAGGGTTAAATAACCTTACAGTGTCGGACATGGTGGTCAATCTTTACAATGACAAAGTAAACCCATGAACCTTTTGCCTTTTCAAAGAAAAACAAACAAAATTCTTTCTGAGAATATAATTAGTAATCATCATCTCTTCTTCTTCTCCCCCCCCCCCCCCCCCCTCCCCCTTAAAAAAAGCAAACAAACCTCAACCCATCCCCACCCAAAAAAACAACAACAACAAAAAACACTCACACAAAAACCCCCCAACAAAACTTGTAGGCTACCTATTACACCAACAGACAACAATCTAGTGGAGTTCATTCCAAACCTTCAAACATTAGCAAACCTGACTAAGACTAAGACAAAGACCCAACAGTAATCGGTGCACTTTTCTAGTCATAAGAGGATCAATGGTGGCTGTTCTCTTTTATCACACAATCTTGAGAAAGCAGAACTGTCTTCAGGAGATGCCATATCTGTGGACAGACAAATTACATATTAATTTACATAGCAAATATGTTAATTTATCAGCTGCTTTTTTTGGGGGGCGGGGGGGGCTCAATCGACACAATTTAGATCATTTAGGAGGCGGGCTTTCGACCCAGCCTGTCAGGGCAAACCAGGGCCGAGAGGGATACAACATCCCAGCAGAAAGACAGCTAGAGGTACTTGATAAAAATTCTCTCCACTTGGGAATCGAATTCAGTTCTCCTGCAGGAGACATGGACGTACCTAACCACTACACCACAGATGCTGGTACAGTGGAATTCGGATTCAACAAGGTCGCCGGGCCTGACCTAAAATCTCTTTGACTCCAGGTGTTCGTTATAGCAAACATGAGGTTTTGTGTAGCAGGTAATGTATAAAGAGAAGTAACAAGTGGTGCCTGAAATGCCAGCATACGAGCTGTGCCAAAAAAAAAAGACTGATTCGTTCAAATGCACGCTTTAGTCATCTCGATTGTTTGCTAAAAAGTTGTGTTGCAGTTGCAGGGTAGAGCCTATCCTAGCATACGGCAACTTTAGATTTCGTAGACAGCGCACAATTCATTACGTAGATCTATGTCAACACTAGTTTATCATTGTAATAGTGATCAGTTGCCGGGGGAAAAAAGACTGTGACGCGTTTGTATCTCTGCGAAGTTCCAAGCCCGGACTGCTGGTGCCCCCTGACACGCACACAGTCACACGGGTGCAGGCCCCCTATCCGACACCGAAACACGCGAGCCAACAACGCATGTGTGGTATGAAAGAAGGCCGTGATTGGTCGTATGCAATCGGGAAAGTGAATAATGGTTCACGAAGCAGGTGCAATGGATGGTTTCCAGGAATAGATAAAGTTTGTTGTGGGAGAAAAATAAGTAAATCCATGTCAGCGGGGGGCTGTTCATCCTGGAAGCAACCTCGTAGAATCCGAGCTTGCTGATTTAAGAGCTCGTTAAATCCGGGTTATTTTTATTGATTTTAAAGAAGAAGAAAAACGGGGAATCCATCTCCTCTCGTTGAATCTGAGTTCTCGTTGAATCCGAGTTCCACTGTAGTTAGTCGGTACAGAGGTAGTAAATAATATAATAATTACATCAACAATAGTCAGATCGTCTGTGGGTAGAGGCAAAATGCATTAGACAGGCATTATGTCAACAATAGTTGTTCCCTGGACAGGCAGATGCTCATATTAGATCAACAATAGTCATTTTGTTGGTGGACGGGTAGTAAGCAAGTATATTCAGTGTTTAAGGCCATTGGCCCACATCACATCACACAAAACACTCATTTGATAAGTGAAGTTTCCATAATGAATAAGTACAGGTTGGGCACATATCTCTTATCATGGGTCAAACATTGCATATTTCTGTCACAGGGCCGAGTCAGGCTGGGAGGAATTAACAATTTCCTTTGATGAGCAAACAAAGTGTGAACAATAGAAAATATAGTGAAATTCATCTTCAATTTCATGAGAGTTACACCTCTCACATAAGGGCGAATTAGTTAATTTCCACAGATAGAGATTGTTATTTAATGGAAGGCTATGGGTTTTTAACAAAGCTATACTATGACTCATCTGCTCCAATACCGTGGGAGGTTGGCGATATATTCAGCTGTTTCTTGAAATGGTAGACAGGTAGAGGACTTTGTGTTATGTCAACAATAGTCATTTTGTGAGTAGACAGGTCTCCCCTACTGGTGGGGGGCCCCGTAGTTTTACTACGGGGGAGCAAAGAATACACCTGTCATGATACTGCGTGTCGTAAGAGGCGACTAAAAGTGCATAAGTCTGGTCGCCCGAAAAGTGCCAGTTTGCGGAGGGCCAACTACCCAACCCAGTAAAAAACAGTAAGTTACAGAAACACGGACAAACACAACTTTTTATTTTTCGATCTTGGGAGACGGAGGAGCTTCTGCATCAGCAGGAACAATGAAGGACAGCGGACAAAGCCGAAAGGACTCTTCTGACCCGAAACCTTCTCTGTCGAACAAGTCTCACCGGGAATAACATCACGAGGCTAGCCCAGGATAGAGAAATGTGGAGGGTGTTTGTCCGTGGCATATACCCTGGTGCAGGGTGAGAAAGGCAATGATGATGATGATGAGTAGACAGGTAGACGGCATTTTGTTATGTTAACGATGGACAGGTAAACAGAATCATATTATTATGTCAAGAGATTACAATGTTATTGATTACAGATTACAGATTGGTTACAGATTACAGTTATTACAATGATAAACTAGTCTTGATGTAGATCTACGTAATGAACTGTGCGCTGGTCTATGGAATCTAAAGTTTCCGTGTGCTAGGCTAGGCTCTACACAGCAACACAACTTTTTAGCAAACAAATGTAATTTTGTGAGTGGACAAGTAGACAACAACATGTGAGTCACGACGCGGTGGAATCAGGCGCTTGTCAGTTTTTGAGGATGTGGAGTTATTGGTATTGCCATAAAGCCTGTTTATTTGCCTTGCTTCTGATGCAAGAATTACCCATTTATCTCGAGTATATTTGCGATTGAATAAGATGAGGGTCACCTGGTTTCAGAAGTAAAATTAGTGAGGAAATGGCCGCCAAAATTTGGTATTTACAAAGCCTCAAGAGTCCGTGGAAACTGACAATTTACATTTTTTGTGCCTTTAATCAACGTTTTTCATATTAACTCACACTGAAATGGGTTCGATAATAAATATATAAGGCATTGAACAAAAAAACCAAATTGCTTTAAAAATCACCAGATCAGTGGAAAAATGTCAGTTTCTTTACTTTCATTATTTTGACGAGCGTCTGATTTCACCACGCTGCCTCACATATACTGCACTACATCAGCAATAGGTATTTTGTCAGTGGACATGTAGACAACAATACATATATGTGTCATGATGTGGTAGAATCAGGCGCCCTTCCATTTTTGGACATCTGGAGTTATTTGTATCATCTTAAAGCATTTGACCATCTATTGATGAAAAAAATACATGCCTATCTGGAATAGAAGTGGAGATATTTGCCATTGAAGGAGGTGGGGGTCGCCTGGTTTCAGAGATAAAATTAGTGAGAAAATGGCCGCCAAAGTTTGGTGATTTTCAAGGCTTAAGAGTCTTTCGAAATAAAAAATTTACATTTGTTGAGCATTTAATCAATGTTTCTCATTAAAACCCATACAGAAATATGTTTTTAAATGGACATAAAAGATGTTGAGCCAAAAAACAAAAATTAGAAAAAAATTGTCAAAAACAAAAATTAGAAAAAAATTGTCAAAAACAAAAGTTCGAAAAAAATGGTCAAACTGGACGAAAAATGCCGATATCTTTGATATCAATATTTTGACGAGAGCCTGATTTCGCCATGATGCCTCTCAGATTGTATCAACAATAGGCATTTTGTCAGTGGACAGCAACTGCCTGCCTGTCAGACTCCAGGCTGAGGATTGATAAGCAGAATTTCTAACCTCAATCTACAAAATGTGAGGCGTGCTGACAAAATGAGTTACTTCTCGCAGTCCACAAATCGAGATATTGACCAAAAATTGACACTATAGGGTCAAATTTGTAAATTTTCTATAGATGCCATATTCTTTAAGTATAACACTCCTTATATTTCATACCTATAAATTGTAAAAACTTCACCTATAAGTGTGATGTATCTGTTTCCTTAAGGCCTGAATCCGAGAAGTAACTCTTTTTGTCAGCACGTTTCACAAATGTAACCTATAAAAACTACTTACGATTCTTCAAAATAGGCAAGCACAGCAAGGTCGGTCTTCCATTCCGTTGCGCTCAAGTACGTCCTGGCCTGCCTGTCGTTTTCAGGTAATGATGAGTCCAAACCGACAATTTCACAAAATTGGCTGACCAACTCCACCATAACTGCATCTTTATCCTCCTTCTTCATGTTATCAAGTACTTTCAAATCCTGGTCAAGTTTCAGCTTTACCGCCAATTCTTCAGATATCTTTGTCATCTCCTTCTCCTCCTCTTGAGTTAATACGACTGTTAATGAGAAAAAAGTCAATGGAGTTGTTGTTGTCAAGTAAAAAAGAAGCAAATCAACACAATAATGGCCATTTAGTGCTGGAAAAAAATAAGACAGACAGACGACAGAAATAATTGAAGGAAAGAAAAGAAGTAGGACCTCCCACTGGCACCCTTCAACCACCCACAGTCAACAGAGGAATGCTTGTCTTGGCTCTGTATTATGAGAAGCATGCCAAAAAAAAAATGAGTAATGGAATCTCATTATTTTTTATTTAGTAGAGGGTTTTACGGCGCTCGCAACTGCATAAGGTCATATGAGCGCCATGGTGTGGGTGTCAACAGAGAAGTCTTTACAGGGAATCAGACTTACTCTGCTCACCTCTCTAGCTTCAACAGCACAAGGTCTGCTTCAACCATCAAGGCACCCCGGAAGTAGCAGGTCACAAGAGTGTGACAAACATACAAAAGAAGTAGAGGAAAAAGAAAAAAGAAGGGATTTGGAAAGAAAAAGCAGCAGTTCCCTGTTGTAGATCAGGCACAGTTATGAGCGTGACATGATGAATCAGCCCATTTACAATTCTACTGTGCTTGAACGAGAAATATCCCCCCTTTGGGAACGGTCTAAAGACACTACAGTCAGTGGCACTGGAATCTGAGCGAGAAAACAACACTGGCAGAAACAATAGAGGGAGAAAAGAAGTTTGGCCGACAAGTGGCTTCCATCATCCACCCTCCGCTGCTCTAGACAAGGATTGTAAACAACAAAGGGAAACAAAACAAAACACTCTGGGGAATCAATGATACAGAAGCTTCTGATGAGTTCTCATGGCCCAAATACACCTAAATATCTATCCTGTATGTGTATGTGTCAAATCTATATGTCCGTTTCTGGTTCGAAGTAGCCATGCTGGTGGAAAACATGCACTTTCTGCCCACAAGTTAAATAACAAACACTGACATACCAAAACTATATGTTCACAAAAAACTTACTTCAGGATAATGTCTATTATCTTCTTACGATTCTTCAAAATAGGCAAGCACAGCAAGGTCGGTCTTCCATTCCGTTGCGCTCAAGTACGTCCTGGCCTGCCTGTCGTTTTCAGGTAATGATGAGTCCAAACCGACAATTTCACAAAATTGGCTGACCAACTCCACCATAACTGCATCTTTATCCTCCTTCTTCATGTTATCAAGTACTTTCAAATCCTGGTCAAGTTTCAGCTTTACCGCCAATTCTTCAGATATCTTTGTCATCTCCTTCTCCTCCTCTTGAGTTAATACGACTGTTAATGAGAAAAAAGTCAATGGAGTTGTTGTTGTCAAGTAAAAAAGAAGCAAATCAACACAATAATGGCCATTTAGTGCTGGAAAAAAATAAGACAGACAGACGACAGAAATAATTGAAGGAAAGAAAAGAAGTAGGACCTCCCACTGGCACCCTTCAACCACCCACAGTCAACAGAGGAATGCTTGTCTTGGCTCTGTATTATGAGAAGCATGCCAAAAAAAAAATGAGTAATGGAATCTCATGATTTTTTATTTAGTAGAGGGTTTTACGGCGCTCGCAACTGCATAAGGTCATATGAGCGCCATGGTGTGGGTGTCAACAGAGAAGTCTTTACAGGGAATCAGACTTACTCTGCTCACCTCTCTAGCTTCAACAGCACAAGGTCTGCTTCAACCATCAAGGCACCCCGGAAGTAGCAGGTCACAAGAGTGTGACAAACATACAAAAGAAGTAGAGGAAAAAGAAAAAAGAAGGGATTTGGAAAGAAAAAGCAGCAGTTCCCTGTTGTAGATCAGGCACAGTTATGAGCGTGACATGATGAATCAGCCCATTTACAATTCTACTGTGCTTGAACGAGAAATATCCCCCCTTTGGGAACGGTCTAAAGACACTACAGTCAGTGGCACTGGAATCTGAGCGAGAAAACAACACTGGCAGAAACAATAGAGGGAGAAAAGAAGTTTGGCCGACAAGTGGCTTCCATCATCCACCCTCCGCTGCTCTAGACAAGGATTGTAAACAACAAAGGGAAACAAAACAAAACACTCTGGGGAATCAATGATACAGAAGCTTCTGATGAGTTCTCATGGCCCAAATACACCTAAATATCTATCCTGTATGTGTATGTGTCAAATCTATATGTCCGTTTCTGGTTCGAAGTAGCCATGCTGGTGGAAAACATGCACTTTCTGCCCACAAGTTAAATAACAAACACTGACATACCAAAACTATATGTTCACAAAAAACTTACTTCAGGATAATGTCTATTATCTTCACAGATGGAAAGTCAGTACTCCAAGCTCTGGAAAACATGAATTTCGAAAGCCCAGCCTGCCTATCCGTGGCTCAAACAATCAATACGTTCATACAGACCTATGCCGTCGACCTGACACTACAGTGGATACCTGGCCACAGCAACATCCCAGGAAACGACAGAGCAGACACCCTTGCCAAGAAGGGAGCATCACAGACACAACCTCACAACCCAGTATCACAACAGACAGCCAAGAACATCATCAAATGCAACACCAGGGAACAGTGGCTGAATGGACGGGCAATGGGCAAAACTGGAAGAACTGTATTTGCACACATGAATGACAGCCCCCAACTCTAAAGATGCAATAAATTCCCTGAGTAGAAGAGAACAAGTCACGATATTTCGCCTGTGAACACAACACATACCACTAAACTCCTACCTTAATAGGATCCACAAGGATACCACACCCGACTGCCTGTTGTGCGACTGCCAGGATGAAACAGTACCACACCACCTCTTTAACTGCCCAGCACTTTGTGACCTGCGTAGCACCTACCTACCTGCCTCCCCAGACATTGGAAACACTCTATACAGCGACAAAGCACAGCTGATTAAAACCTGTCAATTCTTTGCCATATCGACAGACCGAAGGGCTAGAACCCAAATGGCCGCTGGATCGGAAAAATAAAGTAAAGTAAAGTAGTATGTGTCAAATCTATACGTCCGTTTCTGGTTCGAAGTAGCCATGCTGGTGGAAAATATGCACTTTCTGCCCACAAGTTAAATAACACACACTGACATACCAAAACTATATGTTCACAAAAAACTGACTTCAGGATAATGTCGATTCAAAGACCACAAAATCAATAAGCTGATACTGTCCCGGACACAACCTTTGTCCAAAGCAAGTTGGAAAGTATGATCAATTTTTGTATAACAGCATGGGCCGGGAACACAAGACAACAAGATAAAGAAAAATTAAATGGACTAATACGGGACGCATGTAAAATTTCAACATCTACATTCCCCTACTTGGATGAATTGTACATAACAGCTTGAACTAAAAAAATTAATTCCATCTTTTTAGACAATAAACATCCCTTGTTCTCTCAAATAAAAACATCAGTCAGAAGTAAAAGACCTAGGCTTCTGATCTGTAACAAAGAAAGATATAGAAGGTCATTTTTACCATCATCCATCAAAATGCTTCCATCTTAACCATCTTGTATAAGTATACTTACGACCTTAGAGCATGCATCAGAAAAAACATTGAAGGTGTATCTAGCTTAAGATTATTATTGTTTATATTGCTGCTCATTTATATTATGCATGTGATTGTAAGCCTGTGTGTGTGTACATTTGTGTGTGTGTGTGTGTGTGTTTGTGTGTGTATGTGTATGTGTGTGTGCGTGTGTGTGTGTGTGTGTGTGTGTGTGTGTGTGTGCGTGCGTGTGTGTGTGTGTGCACATGTGGTGAAACACCAAACCAATGTGCCAGCATCTGGACAATAAAGATGTATCTTATCTTATCTTATCTTAAGTTGCAGCAACAGAGAAAGGATTGCAACTTATCAAAGAAAAGTGACTTGACACCAGAAAACACATTATTGACATTTTTTTCTGGATTTTACAAGAGACGTTACTACTTTGTTTTTTATATATTCACACATGAAGAAAAAGTCCCTACCGTGAACAACACCCTTTTTGAGGAGGATTTCAGCATGATGGAACTTGGACAGGCCCTCAAAAAATTAAAGCAAAAGAAAGCCCCAGGACCAGACAAAATACACAACGAAATGCTGTGCAACCTTGGTGATAAAGGAAAAGATGTCATACACCGCTTAGTAAATACCACGTGGAGAACGAGCGGAATACCAAAGGCATGGAGGATCGCCCAGATCATACCGCTCCTGAAGAAGGGGAAACCACCTGGAGAAGCGAAGAGCTACCGACCTATATCACTAACAACATGTATTGGTAAGCTTGCCGAAAGAATGGTGAACAACTGCCTTTACTGGTACCTGGAAAACTCCAACAGCTTGAACCCACACCAAGCAGGCTTTAGAAAAGGCAGCAACACAGAAGACCAACTTATCAAACTAAGTCAAGACATCCAGGATGGTTTCCAGGAGACTAAACACACTGTTGCCATCTTTGTAGATCTCCAACAGGCGTATGACAAGAGTGTGGAGAAAAGGCCTACTCATGAAAATGATGGACCTCGGGATACACGGGAAACTTTATAAATGGATCAAGTTTTTCCTTGCGGATCGAAACATCGAATCAAAGGTGAACAATGCCCAAGGTTCCTGTCTGAGTTGCACTTTTTTCCTGATCTTCATTAATGATGTGACGAACGTGCTGAAATCAGAAAAGACTCTCTACGCTGATGATCTTGCTCTCTGGCAGACACATCGCAGCACGGTAGTAGGAGCAGGAAAATTAAATGAAGACCTCGAGAGGCTCCACAATTACTGTCAGAAATGGAAGCTCAAAATAAACTGCTCGAAAACAGTATACACCATCTTTACAAAGAGCCATAAAATAGCGAAAGAAAAACTCCAACTGAAGATAGGAAATGAAAATCTCCCCAAAGAAGAACAACCAACGTATCTAGGAGTCAAACTTGACCAAAGTCTAACAATGAAAAGCCAAGTGGAGAGCATAAAGAACAAGGCGAAAAGAAGACTCCAACTTTTAAAGAAACTTGTGAGCAGTTCATGGGGATCAGACAAACAAACTCTGAGAGCTCTATACCTTGGTTATGTCCGATCTTCCCTGGAATACAGCAATAGCCTACTCACTATGTGTAGTGCAACTACTTGCAATACCCTTGACAAGGTCCAAAATAATGCCCTTCGTTTCATTAATGGTGGCATGAGATCTACACCTACTGCCGCATGTGAAATTCTGTCAAATGTTGAACCCCTGGGAATACGCAGAGATAAAGCAGTTTTGGAGCTTCATGAAAGAACCAAAAGAATGTGCCCCAACCACCAAAACAGGAAATTAGTAGAAACATGGAAACCAAAGAAACGACTTCAACAAAAATCAGTCATGCATCGCATCACAGAACTAATGGAGAGCCACCACCTACCACAAAACAGAAGAGAAACCAAAAGAGTCAACCAAAACATCCCTCCCCACATTTCTATGGAAAAACCAATCATTAAAACTTCTCTCAGAGACAATAGCACAAAATCTTCAGACCCAGTGAAGTTGATGCTTTCTTCACACCAAACAATCGACAGCTATTCAGATGACTGGATACACGTCTATACAGACGGCTCAGCATTCAAAGGCACAACCAAAGCCGGATATGGAATACTAATACAGTACCCAGATGGAAGTTCCAATGAGATCTCTGCAGCCTGTGGAGAGAAATGCAACAACTACGACGCAGAAATGATAGCAATTGAAACAGCACTATACCATCTCCGCACAGTTTTTGACACTCATCCAAACAAAAGCCAGAGTATAGTGATCTTCACTGACTCACTATCAGTCTTGCAAGAAATAGAAAATGATCACCATCTAAACGAAGACTTGACACATATACTGTTTGGCTCCCATCATCTGATAACATTCTGTGGCGTCAACCTGGTGATGCAGTGGATTCCCGGACACTCAAACATACCTGGAAATGACAGAGCAGACACACTCGCCAAAAGGGGATCTAGACAGGAACAACCCAACATTCCAACTTCATACCACACTGCAAAACAAATCATTAAAAGCAACAGCAAACAAGACTGGATGAACAGATGGGCCTTGGGAAAGACAGGCAGAGCAGTTTTCAAACATATGACTACAACAAAACGAAATGACAATATCAACCACCTACAGAGAAAGAAACAGACCACGATCTTCCGCCTACGAACAGAACATATACAGCTCAACTTTCACTTGAACAGAATAAAACCAGAACTTCCCCCAATGTGTCCTTTGTGTGACTATGCATATGAGACAGTGGAACATCACCTTTTCCACTGTACAGCCCTAAATGACTTCTCCCTCCGAGACCTAACTTCGACAACACACTCTACGGAACATTACAGCAACTGCAGCAAACCTGCACTTATCACTACATGGCATTGGACAGAAGGGCGAGAGCCCAGATGTTGCTGGATCGATAACAACAACAACATATATTCACAGGATCCTTAAGGCTTGACTTTCGACAGATTCTGCCCACACACAGAGGGCTCAAACTGAATCACACTCTCCACAGGTGATATGGAGAAGTACTCACTGTTTTTTGTCATAAAGAAACTCCCCTAAACTGGCCCCGTGGTTTTATGCACCCCGCATAATTTAGCAAAATTTGATCATTCTTTGCATAATTTCAGATTATTTTCCTTTCTCATTCTTTTTTAAAATAAACAGAATCGCATAATTTCTCATTTTTGGGCTCAGTCTGCATAATTTCAGATTTTTTTTTTCCATAAAACCATGGGGGCAGACTAAACAAGGGGAATCCTTGTTTTGGAACAGACAAAGAAAGTAACATCACAAGACTTCCGTAAAACCATGATGCTGGAAATTTGTAGGGTATGTTGCTGGATATTTGTAAGGAAATTTGCAGGGCATGACATATAATTGTGCTAGCAATTTGAAGGGCATGTTGCTGGACATTTGCAGGGTGTGATGTGTATAGTGTGAAAATTTGTGGGGCTTTGTGTTGAAAATTGGTTGTGTATGGTAAGTATGTACGGTGCTGGGAATTTGAGTAGGGCATGATGTGCATAGTATGATAATTTGTGGGGAATTGTGTTGGACATTGGTAGGATACGATGCTGAAAATCTGTTGGGCATGGGGCTGGAAAGTTGTATGGCTTGACGTTGAAAATTTGGGGTTTGGATACCTCAAAAGAGTGGAGGGGGGTAGGAGGAAACGTATATCACAAAGAGTCAGCATGGTAGTAAGTACAAAAGCAGCCCAAGCAACCAACTTAAAGCAGGCAAAGGTTAAGCAGTCTGGGCATATGCACATGCAACAATAACAAACAACACTTTCAAAGGGAAACTGAGTCTTAAATAATATTAATAATAATTTTTTTTAAAACATTTGATGAACTTGTAATAACTTAAGTGCACATACTACCTCTCCACTAAGGAGGTCTAGGTCTTTGCATCAAGAAGCAAAGGAGGACAAAATCCCTACAACTGAAATGCCTAGCTCTTTAAAAAATTTTCTTTTTAAACATAAGTATTTTTATGACTTCCACAACATCGTTTAGATCAATTAGGTGGCTTCCGACCCTGCATGTCAGGGTCATCCTGGGCTGAGAATGATACAGTATCCCAGCAAAAAGACTGAAATACTCAATAAAAATAATCTTCTCATTCAGGAATTGAACCTGGGTCTCTTGTGTGCACCTTTAAAGTGCCTAACCGATACACCACAAACATCGGTGCAAAGTCTTTAATGAGGCTAATTTATAGCAAATAGAGGGATAGACCCTCTGCCTCACTCCCTCATCCCCCCCCCACAAAACTGAAGCTCAGAACCGTCCAGTATTCTTTGTGCTCTTCAGTATATTTAAAGAGCTTTTTAGCACCTTATAAAATTAGCAGATTTTTGTTTGCTCATCTTTTTCCATCCAGCGCATAAATGTCTTTTATTTTTTGTTGAAAGAGCATAAAACTTGAAATACTGCCCAAAAGTAGGCAGTGTGTATTTACTTTTGCAAGCACCCAGAAAATATCTTAAATTTGAGCTAAGAAACAAGTCCTTTCGTAGAGCGAAAGTACTCATATGTGGTCTCATTGGATCTCAGTCATTCATTGATCAGCAAGCCATTCATATATCTAAAAGAATTGTTGGAAATCCTGGATCAAAATGTGAAGGACCCTATTCATAAAAAGAAAAAGCTCAATTTGTGGAAGGAAATTTTTGGCGTTTTTTTTTTTTTTTTCAAAGTTGAGTTTTCACCATGACATGCTTTATACAGAACATTGTATCTTGAAAAGTTTTGAAAAAGGTCATTTCAATAAAAACAATGAGCCTATCTTGATAGTTCATCTTCTCAGCAAAAGAGATCTACTTTTGGCACTGGCCGAAAACTAATACACAGTCGACAACTTGGGACCTCAGTGCTTTCTTGTCGTATCTACATTTTTTTAAACAGTTAAAATGTGACATCTTCTTAAGCTCACTTTTTATTATGAGCTGTTTTTCCCTATCATTAAAAATGGAGATACGACAAGAAAGCACTGGGGTCGCGAACTGATGAGTTGATGTCGTTGGGGGAGTGAAAAATAGATCAATTTAACTCATCTAAAGCTCAACTTAACCGTTGGGAATTGTATAGAAAAAGAGGTTCCGGGACCCGAGAAAAAGATTAAGTGAACCGAACATCAACTCAAGCGAGTTCAAGACAAGCAGAGTGGACTGTAATGTTAAAGTCGTCATAAAGGGAAGTGTCCAAGCTGCTGCCAGCAGCTCACCGGCGCAGTGGTTCTGACAGCAAGCCGCTGTAAGAAGCTAGCCGGAGATAAGGAATTAAAACACTATCAATGTTTCACTAGGAACATCAAACTACAGTCAAACCTGTGTAAGACGGCCACCCATTGTCAAGGAGAAAAGTGGCCGTATAAGACAGGTGGCCGTCTTAGGCAGGACTGATCAAGATGAAAACAAACCATTCCCATCTGAAGTCCCAATCGAAAGCAGCTGCATTGTTGTTGTTTTTTTTGTTTTTGTTGTTGCTGGTTTTTATTTTGTTTGTTATTTTTACTTCGTTGCTGATTTTGCGCAAGGGTGACAATAAAACAAAATGTATCAGACAACGAAGACCGAGTGCTATGTTAAAACAAACACATGGGTCGCCACCACTCGGAGAACGAGCGACCTTTCTGTCGCAAGTTCGTGTTAACGTCCTTTGTTACTTTGTTACAGACTGGGTAAACAGTGACCACTCATCTCACTTACGATTTGTGTATGAGGTCTGGGCGGGGCTTAGGGGTTATGAGGGATCACACGCTTACCTCACCAGCAGCTGAAAATCGGTACCAATTGGTCAACAGCCTATGCAACATGAGCGGATGGAGGGACTACCTAACAACAATGACAAGTGATTGGATTATGACGGCTCGCCCACAACGCCAGGGGCCAATGCACAATTTATGACAAAACGTAGTGGAGTCTCTAAGGTGGCCGTCTAAAACAGGTGTTTTTGCTCAGTGCAATAGGGGTTGTGTGTTAAAATATGGCGGCCGCGTTGGACAGGTGCCCGTCTTACACAGTTAAATTATATAGAAAAAACGCAAGGGGGGAAATGGAAAGTGGCCGTTTGTACAGGTGGCCGTCTTATAGAGGTGGCCGTCAGGGCAGGTTCGACTGTATTTAAAAAAACAACGCATAAAAACTACTAAGGCTGAAAACTGGCACTGAGCATTGCAGCTTCTCCTTAAGCATTCTCCTAAAGACTAAAATAAAACAGTATGTAAGATCACCTGTATGATATTCAAGCATTCTTGTGAGCAAAGAAAAAAGGTAGGGGGCTCTCGTGGCCTAGAGGTCAAGGTGTTTGCCTCTCATTCAATAGGTTCAGGATTTGAATCCTTCTCTAAAATTGTCTCTTTTCACCCCCTTTCCCCTTTCCTGCTCTCTAGCAATGTTCTGTTGTCTGCTTTCGCCTCCACTTTCTGCCCCCACCTCCTCACTTCCTTTGCCCCCCCCCCCCCTCTGGGCTCCTGACACTTTCTGCAGCTTTTCTACTGCTACTCCCTGGCTCCTTCTTACTGCTGTCTTTCAGCTACACACCTGATCTTATGGTAGGAAAGATCTACACCTGGCCTTCTCGGACAAAGGTAAAAAATCTCGGAGGTCACATGTGCAAGTTGTACACTTTAAAGATCTCTCGGTGGTCCAAAATCGATAAGAGTAGGCTTCGGCCGCCACCAGGGCAAAATTCAAAATTTCCTACCAACTGAAAATGTTTAATCTGTCCCGCACGCTCATATGACCTTATGTAGTTGCAAGCGCCGTAAAACACTTACCAAACCCCCTCCCACAAAAAAACTAAAAAAACAAAAACAACACAAGGTATATATAAGATCACCTACATGATATATTTTATAACCCTTTATCTCCGAGGGGGTTGGAAAAGTAAAGTAATAGGCTGAAGGGCTAGAACTCAAATGGCCGCTGGATCGGAAAAGTATCTCCGAAGGGGGCAAACCCACACGGGGCCCTTTTTTTGTACAAAATCTAAAAGTGACATTTATGTAATTAAACTGGCCATTAAATCAAAACTAAGTGATCCTATTTTGTTCAAAGGCACAGCGGTTCTGACTGCAAGCCATTGGGAGTGACATGCCGGAGAAAAGGAGTTGAGTATTTTTGTGAGGACTAAAAAAAACGTATCAGATCACTTGAGCGATATTCAAGCAGTCGTGTGAGGACTAAAAATAAGGTATATAAGATCAGCTGTATAATATTTAAGCATTCTAAGGAAGGTTTTTTTTTTAAAAAGGTATATGAGAACACCTGTAAGATATTTAAGCATTCTTGAGAGTTTGTAAAAAAAAAGGTATATAAGATCACTTGTATGATATTTAAGCACTCTTGTAAAAGTTTTTTTTAAAAAGGTATATAAGATCACTTGTATGATATTTAAGCACTCTTGTAAAAGTTTTTTTTTTAAAGTATATAAGATCACTTGTATGATATTTAAGCACTCTTGTAAAAGTTTTTTTAAAAGATATATAAGATCACTTGTATGATATTTAAGCACTCATGTAAAAGTTTTTTTAAAAGGTATATAAGATCACCTGTATGATATTTAAGCACTCTTGTAAAAGTTTTTTTAAAAGGTATATAAGATCACCTGTATGATATTCAAACATTCTTGTGAGGACTAAAAAAAGGTATATAAGATCACCTGTGTGGTCAATCCTGTATTGAGTAACTGCTGCATCAACATCCTGATCTTCCAGGACCACAAATAGTCTTGCCACATATGGGGATCTTTCTTTGGTTTTTTCCATAAACTCTGTGACCATTCTTTGAAGATCTTTATCATCTTTTGCTAAAGCTTTGGAAACATCTACAGTGTCCTCACACTCCTCATATGATGAGCCCTGGGACTGCTCTTCAGCTGAAAATGTGTTAACACATTATCAATTTTTTTATTTACCTACAAAACACAAAGAAGCAGTTTTTAGATTATGTGTCACTGTAATGAAACCAGGCGCGTGTCAAAATAATAAAATCAAAGAAACTGACACTTCTCCACCCGTCAGGCAATTTCTATTGAATAATTATCTTTGGGGTCCAACACATTTTATGTCCATTTAAAAACACATTTCTGTGACACAAAAAATGTAAATTTTCAGTTTTCAAGGACACTCAAGCTTTGGAAGTCACTAAACTCTGGACGCCATTCTCTCACAAATTTTGTCTTTGACACCAAGTGACCTCCACCTCTTTCAATTGCAAATATCTCGACATCTATTACAGAAAGACGGATATCTTTTTCATCAAAACGCAAGATAAATGAACAGGTTTTAAGATGATACCAATGACTCTGTATGCCTAAAAATTGATGAGTGCCTGATTCCACCACAATGTGACACAAATTCATCTGAACAGCTGGGGATATGACCAATCCATATTTCCATCTTGGGACAGTGGAACTCCTCCCCTACATAGTCAATCCTGCTTCTCTTTTGTACAAATCTGTCTAATCTGTGGGTGGGAAGCTCTAGCAAGAATAGACCCCCAAACTTCTGGTGGGGAGCTCCAAGTTTTAAAAAGACTTACATTCATATAGTAAGGTGTATAATTCATGCAAAAACAAATAGAGTACATGAAAGAAGCACACCTAAGCAAGCCACCAAACTCCAATACAATTGAAACCAAGCCACAATAATATGTGTCACAGCGCAGTGGAATCAGGCGCTCGTCAATTTTTGGGCATGTGAAGCTATTGATATCATCTAAAAGATTATTCCTTTGCCTTGTGTTTGATGAAAAATATATCCATCTAATTTGAATAGAAGTTGAGATATTAGCGATCGAAGGAGGTACTTACGTACGGTTAGAATCGCAGTCTAGCCGTACTTATTCTTAATATGATGGCTAGACTGACCATTTAACAAAAAATAGGCCTACTGAATTGTAAATAAACTTTTTTAGTGTGCAGTACCTAAAGTATTTGTATTTGAGACGAAACCAGGTGCCTGAATGACAGTGCATGTATTTTAAACCTCCTGTTTTCTAATGTTAATAGGGCCTAAGATAAGTACGGCTAGACTGGCAGGCTAGCCGTACTTAAGGACGGCTAGACTGTCAGGCTAGCCGTACTTAATATTGATGGCTAAATTGTAAATGAAATTTTTAGTTTGCAATGCCTAAAGTATTTGTATTTCAGACAAAACAAAAAGGTGCCTTACTGACTTGCATGTATTTGAACCTGAATAATTACTAGATCTAGATCTAATGAGACCTGTGTACTTAACAGGCTTGAGTCGATAGGGCCAAACCTAGATCTAAGTACGGCTAGACTTGCAGTCTAGCCGTATTTAAGTACGGCTAGACTCTCAGTCTAGCCGTACTTAAGTACGGCTAGCCACTTCGTTTTTTTTCCAGTATTCTGAGGTTTTTTACGGTAGCCTAGGCCAAGGCGTTCGGTAACAGCCTGCCCAGATTTTTGTAAAAGAACCAGAAAGCTGCCAAAACCAAATATAAGTTGAAATAGATTTGCCCAGATTAGGCAACAATTCTACAAAAATGGCCAAATTACGTCCTCCCGAAGAACTTTGCTTCGCAGACACCCTCCACCAGGCTGAAAACTGGAGAATGTGGAGCCAGGAGATGAGGTTGTATCTTGACCAAACAATGCAGAAAGAGTCTGAGAAAGACAAGTGCAGCGCCTTTCTGTATATCGTCGGGCGAGCTGGAAGAGAAATATATAATACATGGGCACTGCCCCAGTCAGAGCAGCACAAGATTGAGGTACTGTTCAAACGCTTCGAGGACTACTGCAAGCCGAAGCATATGTCACCATGGAACGCTTCAAATTCAACAGTAGGGTTCAGCTAGAAAACGAATCCTTGGATGAATTTGTTACTGATCTGAAACGCTTGTCACTCATGTGCGAATATAAAGACCAACAGTCTGAAATGATCAGGGACAGACTCGTGGTAGGCATACGGAAAACAACAGTGACAGAAAGACTGCTGAGAGAGCCAGAACTGACACTGGAGTCTGCCATCTCCATTTGTAGAGCAGATAAAGAGTCACAGCGAGGACTAGCACTCATGCATGAGGACGGAGTTGTACCCACGGTCAGCACAGTAAAATCTAAACCTCAAACGCAGGCCTTCAAGACTGGACAGAGAACAAATGCATAAAGATTCCCGAAACGTGAAAAAACGAAAGCACAAGAGAAGTCCTTTTTATGCTCACGTTGTGGTTAAACGCACAGTCCAAGGTCATGTCCAGCCTACGGAAAGCTCTGTAATTGTAGGTAGTCCTTCGTTGCCGAAGATGACGATGAATCCTGCAGCTCATCTGTGGACGCACATGTGGCTGTGCAATCCGATCCTGGATGAACAATGTCTGTTGCAGTGGGGACACTGGAATGTCGTGGTTGTGGTGGTTGGCTTATGTCTCCTCTCTCTTCTGATAGTCAGCTTCTCCCTGTAGTTTGTATCACTGTTTCTGCTGGCAATACGGACAGCCCTGCGCCAGGCGTTCCTTTAGGTGGCAGTTCTTTTGAGTTCTTTGGGGGTTACCTGTGCAAGCTGAAGGTTTTCCTTTATAATGTCTTTGAACCGCTTTTTTGGCCTCCCGAGATTTCTTTTGCCACTTGCGAGTTCGCAGTACAGCAGCTGTTTGGGCATTCGGTGGTCTTCCATGCGGATGACATGGCCAACCCATCTCAGTTGGGCTTTGACGAGCATGCTTTCCATGCTGTAATAACTGTGACAAAAAGAACCATTTCGCCAAGCAGTGTCAGTTGAAGGGTAGGATCGCCTGTGCAGAGGCTCGGTCGTCTGATGAAAGTGACTCGGACGAGTTCCATATAGGCACTGTGAGCAGTGTGAATGGTGACCCAGGGAACCAAGACTTGTATGTGGCCCTCAACTGTAGAGGGATCACAGTGAGGTTCAGCCTAGACACGGGTGCCCAGGCCAATGTAATCTCAGAAAAGCTGGTCCAACGTCTCAATGGACTGGTCAGTCCTACGACAACCAAGCCCACCTCTTACTCTGGGGAGAAGATTCCTGTCAGAGGGAAAACCAGATTCCCTTGCTTTCACAAAGGAGCACGATATGATGTGGACTTTGTAATAGCGTCGTCCCCATCAGCACAATCTATTCTTGGACGGAAGACCTGTGAGGACATGAACTTGATACAAAGAGTGTACCATCTCACAACCCCTACTGTATCGCATGAACCGGATGATATCATTGAAGAATTCAGTGACACTTTTGGAGATCTTGGGTGCATTGCAGAGAAGCACAGAATTCAGGTGGACCCAAGTGTTAGCCCAATTGTATCGGCAGCTAGAAGAGTGCCTCTAGCCCAGAGGGAGAAGCTCAACAAGGAGCTAGAGCGAATGGAAAAACTTGGCGTTATAGCAAAGGTTGATGAGCCGACAGACTGGATGAACCTCATGATAGTCGTGGAAAAACCCAATGGAGATCTCAGAATATGCATGGATCCGAAACGGCTCAACGATGAAATCAAAAGAGAGCACTACCAATTGCCAACGCTGGAGGAAGTTACAATGAGTGGAGCGAAGTATTTCTCAAAGCTGGACGCTTCAAGTGATTTTTGGGCAGTCCAGCTAGATGAAGATAACCTTCAGGAAGGTACAAATTCCTACGACTGCCATTCGGCATCAAATCTGCTCCGGAGGTGTTCCAGAAAGTGATCCATAAACACCTTGGTAACATTCAAGGTTTTGTAAGCTACGAGGACGATCTGTTTATCTGGAGTCCAACAAAGGAATAAACAAGTAACATGGCTGCTTACTGAGTGTTTGCCAACTCGTCATCTAAAACATAACAGCCAATATCTTGACTTGTATCCAAGATAAATGGATATTTTTTCATCAAAAGCAAGGCAAATGGACAGGCTATAAGATCATACCAATAACTCCATAAGCCCCAAAACTGACGAGCCGCCTCGTGACACAAATAAATAAATAAATAAATAAATAAATAAATAAATAAATAAATAAATAAATAAATAAATAAATAAATAAATGTGAGTCATATTGCATGGGGGGAAGTTTTCTACTTTCTCTGATTTTCCCGGCAACAGATTTTGACATAAGAAGCTATATTGCCTGTCAAAGTGAGGGCCACTTTGTATTCAGGCAATCTCACAGCATTTTCAAAGACGTTTTTTCATTTTTCAACGAATCATACATTTAACAAAAAAATTTGTGTTTGGATTCAAGTAAATTTTGAATAAGGACCAGCCTGCTTTTCTTCAATTTTTCATTAACCAAAATTGTCTAGAAGTAGGGCCAGTTATATTTTGAAAGGTGCATTTGCCATTGCTAAAACTCAGATCAAAATGGACAAAATGCAAGCAAGTGTAGAAATATCTAAAACTTCAAAAATCTGCTTTCAAGGTAATCTCTATTCTACATTTTTTCTCAAGCAATCAGCAAAAAGCATAGCTTTATGACTTACAGGTAGCTGCAAGAATCAGTTTTCCGCCTCTTCAAAAATCTATCCAACAAGAATGATGAACATGGCCAGCATTAATTTCTGGAGTGTTCCAGATCAAACCAGAAAAACCCTGTAAGCTACAGCCAAAATCTCATCTTGTTCTTTTAAAAAACAAACTTATTGGGGCCAATTTTCCTCGAGACCAAAGCAGTCAGTGAGTGACTTATACATCGAATCACAAAAATACTCAATAAATTACCATCCAACATGAACACTCGAGAAAAATAAACAACGGAAGTAGGAAAAAATTTTGATCTTCAAATTTCTTGCTACAAATGAATAACTGGATCAAGCTCTACAATAAAAAGTTTTCTATACGGCATAGGGGCACTTCCATGTAAGTTGATGGATGCTGTTTATAATATACAGACCTACCTTTCTCATCTGTGTCATCTTCCTCATCGTCATCGGAGCCACTTGAATCTGGAAACAAACATACAAACAAAGTTTGTGAAACAGCCAGTACGACAAGCATACTGATAAAGAAATTTATGACCTGTAAAGCAGAAAAATACAAAAAGAACATCCCAAAATTTTACAAAATCTATTCATTTGGTTAAAGATAAGACTCAAAAAAGCAAAAGGTGCACATATGAATGATGGGGGGAAAAATGAGATGTTGATGTCGATGAAGCATAATTCACTACAAGACATGACATAGTAAGTAAGCTTATTCAGTTTTCCATAAGGCATAGGGGCACTTCCATGTAAGGAGGATGGATGTTGTTTATGATAATATGCAGACCTACCTATCACATCCGTTTCATCTGCCTCATCGTCATTGGAGCCACCTGAAACAAACATAAGTGAGGCTCTACACTGGATCAAGAACACAAGCCATCAGCGAGCAGTAATCATTACTGACTCAATCATAGCTGCCATTCAGGAATTTCAAAAAAGGAGGAAACTCATGCGAAGGCGGACGCGCTCTCTCCGAAGGCCGGAGTAAAACCAGTGAGATCCAGAGGCAATATATGCTGGAAAATCTAGCCTATGGTTTTGGAAGGGAAAACTGTCAAATTTGTTAATCATAGACAACTGAATTAAAATGTATTTGAACCCCCCCCCCCAAAAAAAAAACCCCACCCCAACAACAATAAAGGCACTAAGTTGACTAACAAGCATTTGAGTCAATTTGACACAGTTTGGACTTGGTGACTAAAAATCCAGTGTTTGTTGCCAGCTGGTGTCTTATTAAAAGATCTCTTTCACTTAAAACTTGTACATCGATGTAGAGCGCGCGCAGTATGGGATCAAGGAGGCAACACCTTTGCCGCTGTACTGAGCACTCCTGTACAATTGCGGTCCCGTTTGCACTTAACTTAGTAGTGCCCCTGTAGTGTGTAGATCGAAACTGAATTAAAATAATAGCCTAGGCTATCTAATCTTGATCTAGAATTGAGATATCTAAATATGCGTAAATCTATATTATATCTAGAGATAGATTATCTAGATCTAGATCTAGATTCACTTCAACAGCGACAATAGCTGTCATGTAAACAAACGGGACTGCAATTGTACAGAAGTGCCGTGGGCCGCGATGTCTTTATTGCACCAAACGCAAAGTGCAGCAAGCGGTTTGTTCAATTTTCTCATGAACTTTTCAAGTCGCACACCGGCAGCTTCTTTCTCATTCCAGCTCCTTTTATTTTTGCATTCTGCATCAATTTCTCTCGAATTTCCTCTGTTTTCAATGACAACTCGGCGTGTCAACGTCCCGATGCCCGATCAACACTGTAGTATGTTGCTCTACAATAAAGAAAGTGAAACTAGCGCTAGGCCTAGAAGAACGGAAGTAGAAAGCTACGGGCGGACATGCGCAAGCTGCATTTTCGTTTCTCTCCCGGTTCAGTGTTTTCCGCATATAAAAAAGTATCACAATTTGCGACCGAGAGCGGTCCAGCGGAGGAAGGAGGAAAGCAGCGGGAAAAGCTAGATGAAGCGAAGTTTCCGCTATTTAGCGAAAAAGTGGCAGCTATGCTCAATGAGCACACTACAGAAGGTACAGAATGGGATGCTGTATGCGGACTGGAAGGCTACGATCAGGGAGAGCAGCCTGGAAAGAGTGGCCTGGATCTTCTGCCTGGGCCACGCAGGGGTAACAGGCAACGAGAGAGCAGACAAGCTGGCTGGAGAAGCAAAAGTGGGAGGGAATTTGACACTGGACCCACCAACCGTCCTAACCGCTGTAAGGGAAAATTTGAGAAAGAATAGGGCGGATAGCGGTTCCCACACTCAAGGTAGTTTGAAGGAGAAGGGGATTCAAAGAGGAGAGGGGAAACACAGCCATCTGTGCGGACCAGTTCGACGAATCTCCAACCAGATTATGATGGGGACAATAAGCAGACAGACTCTGGGATGGATCCTGAAGAGGGGGGGGGGGAGGAGAGCAGAGATGGACATGTTCCGACTGCAGTGACCCCAACACAGTGGATAAGTAAGTTTATTCAGTGTTCAAGGCCATATTGGCCCACATCACATCACATAAAACACTCATTTTTTAATAAAGTTTCCATATCGAAAAAGTACAGGTTGTGCACATATATCCCTTATCATGGGTCAAGGACAGCATATTTCTGTCACTGGGCCGAGTCAGGCTGGGGGGGGGGATTAACAATTTCCTTTGATGGACAAATGACATATAGACATGACATAATTCATTATTGAAGAACGGCATTTGGTTTTTTGCCAGGACCTCAGGCTGAGAGAAAATATTTGAAGAAAGATGACAAAGTGATTTTATCCCAAAAGGTACACTTACGAGGGTAAGACATTAATTTTCCTCAGTCACTTAAAAGAACTAAATCCTACATACAGTGTCGATTCAAGCAGAATGATACAGGATATAATAAACAATATAACAACCAAACCAGGCTGCTGTTTCTGTACACAAATGATTTTATTATTTCATGACAAACACCAACAGGCACTGACGTCTTACTGGTGTCGGCTAGCTTCTTAACCTTGCATATACAGTCGAACCTGTGTAAGACGGAATCGCAAGGGAGCCAGAAAAAAATTCTGTCTTAGACAGTGGAATTTAGGGGGAGCTGGAAAGGGGGGGGGGGGGTGTGGTTCAAACGCCCAGCCGGTGGGATCAAGGATTGCTTGTCCGATCGGCAAGCAGTGGTCAAAATTTCACACCTCTCAACTGCTTTCCTGTCTGATAATGACATGCGTCAGTCTTACTTGTCCAATTACCACCAGTGCTTGCCTTTAATAGGACCACTGCTTGACCTATTAAAAACAGAAACGTTTGAACATCTTCCTTTGTTTCCACCTTTAGACACACCCATCAGTGTAACAAGCACAGTCAACCAATGCCATCCCTTACTGCCATCATGTAACAACGATTCGAGGAACTCTTTTCTCGGCTGGTGTAAGACCAGGGCGGCAGGCATAGGTCAAACTAATTTCACATCTCTGGCTTCCGGCTACCCCAGGACACTTTCTGTAGTGGCTTGCTACTCGAGCCCTCACACAGGCAGTCCTGAGATTTCACACCCACACTACCCTGACCATCTGCATAGCTCAGGGCTCACATTATGGGGTAACATCTACCCCCAAATTACACTCCTACTCCCCGTCCTTGCCAAGCGGCATGGCCATGGCGTTAGATTTAGAGTAAGAGCCGGCGGAACCAAACTTGTGAGTTTTGTTCCAAATCAGGGCTGAGCGGGCAAAGCATTTTCTGTCTTAGACCGGTGAAACCCTCGGAAGGGAGCGGATTTTTCTTTCCGTTTCCGCGTTGGACAGGTTTCCGTTTTATACAGGTAATTAAAGAGGAATATATCAAGGGGGGAGCGGGGAGATTCCGTTCAGACAGATTTCCGTCTTATACAGGTTTCCGTTAAGGCAGGTTCGACTGTATATATATAAAAGACCCGAGGTTCAAATTGCGCAGAAAGGAGGACATTTTATTTCATCTTTAAGTGTCTGTCTTTCTACTGGAATGAGATACCAACACAGCTCTGGTTCGTCTGGAAAAGCTAAAAGATCAAAAGCATATGGGTGTAAAACATTTACAACAATACCAATAGGTCATTTTCCAAACTACCAGTCACAAATTACTTACCTGGATCTGGTGAGGAATGAGACAACGCTTGAGCTTGAATCTTCACTTTTTTCTCCAGTTTGATCCCTGAGGGATCCACAGGCTTCTTAATCTTAGCTTGACTATCATCAAAGACTTTTGTGAATGTTATAATGCACTCAACAAGAGCTCGACGTTTCTCATAGATCACAAACTCCCGAAAGGCGCCACAACGTCCCTATTGAATAGTAAATATTAGCACAAAACTTTAAGGAACCAAACTGAGGCAAAATAGAAGAAATAATACAGTGCAAATAACAATATGATGTTAAATTATCATCTTTTGCAAAAGCAAAACACAACAATAAAAGCACCGGTGTAAGAAATATATGTGTCATGGCGGTGTGGAATCAGGCGCTCATCAATTTTTGGGCATTTGGAGTTATTGGTATCACTTTAAAGCTTGTTTGTTTGCCTTACTTTCGATGAAAGAATTAGCCATGTACCTGTGTACATGTCAAGATATGCCATTGAATGAGGTGGGGTCACCTGGTTTCAGAGGTAACATTACAGAGAAAATGGCCGCCAACGTTTGGTTATTTACAAAGCCTCAGAGTCCGTGAAAACAGACAATTTTTCATTCTTTATGCCTTTAATCAAAGTTTTTCAGTATAATTCACACTGAAATGGGTTCTTAAATTGACATTAATAAAGATGTTGAGCTAAAAAAAAACAATTAAGAAAAAAATCGCCAAACCAGCGGAAAAGTGTACGTTTCTTTACTTTCATTACTTTGACAGGTGCCTGATTTCACCACGCTGCCTTGCATTGTATAAGCTGGGTACCCTGTTCGATGAACAAACTCAAAAGAATCGATCAAGTCATTGTGGAACCAATATGCACTGTTTGTGAACGGAACCCTCACTTGTTTACAATGGCGTCTGAGAAGACGAACTTTCCCAAGATTAGATCTAAACGAAACTAATGAAAAACTGAAAATTAAACTAAAGTGACTTCAGAATCCATATTATAAATGTGCACCCTTTAAATGATTTTGAACCACCGTTAATATGGTCAAATTTGAAAGTTAAGTGGTTGGGAAGTTTTAGGCTGCCAAATTGACGAACTTTCACAAATATAATATGTATAGATCAAGTAACAAGCAGAATCCAACAAGTAAAAGAAAGTATCCTTATACATGAACAGAAGGAAAATGTAAGCCTGTGAGCGCAACGTTACTTTTGGCGTGATTGTGCCTTTTTGCTGGCGTAACCCACTGTGGCTTCCTGGCTCAGGGTCATTGGGGTGAGCATTACAGCTGTGCCCATTAGACTTTACTATTCAACATTCGTGATTTTTGCACTATTCACAGCTATTCGAAACATGGCAGAGCCATTCGAATGTCGTGTGATTCTTTAAGAAACAGATAATGGATTTTCGTCTCATTTTTCTCAAACTCAAACGTAGAAAAATTGGAGCACGTTATATCTAAAATCATTAAGATAAATATACAGAAATACTCTTTATTTGATGGTTACGAGACAGAGTGATAAGAGTAGCCTACAAGAGTAATAAAACAATCCTTTAGAGAATATCTCTTACTATTCAATATTCACTCGTCACTCTATGGACAGCTCAAGCAAGGGCACTTGACTCTTGAAGCGCAGCAAATGGGTTTTTTCCATGAAGTTAGCTGTCGCAATTAGCTCCCCTAAACCCTACTCGAAATTCGAAGCGCTATGAGCGGTGACGTGATGTCAACACATTGCACTGTCTGCGTGCATGCAACAACAACACACGCGCGCTCAGTGACTGGCGTTGAACAGCGCAAGTCAGATCTGAACTAGGCCTATCACAATTTAAGGAAAAACGATTCGACAGCCCTTCGAATTGTGGAAGTTAGACCTGGGCTTATCTTATACAGTGGAATCCTGTTATAACGAGAAGGAGGGGACCGGTGCGAAATATCCGTTATAGCAGGATTCTCGTTACAAGGGATCCAGTAATAAATTCAAGGGAAATAGTAAAGTAGGCCTAATCAAAGATTTGGCGTTCTGTTTTTTCCTTTTTGTAGTTCCCCTGATGATGATTTGTTCAACATGATCTCTAGGTCTTACTTGATCAAAAATCGAATCAGGTTTCTTTCTCTAGCACTAGCAAAGTTGACAAATCGGCCTTGGCGATCAGAAAGAAGGGGCTATGGCTCTAGGCTAACTCGCCCACTGTGTTGTCCCCCACTCCACCACACACTGTGGCGTGTTGCGTCTGCTCGCGCACGTCATACATTCACTCCATCTATCTATCACAGCATTGTGACCTCTCCATCCCGACATCTAGATTAGATCTAGATTCTAGATCTAGATACGTTTATTCATTAAATACTCTCTCTCTGGGCTAAAAAAAATAAATTATAGTAACACTAGATCGACACACCGCCCGAGATGATCAGTAGCCTTGCATTGTAACCAAAGATAGTACAGCCTACCGTAGGGTGTAGTATCTTTGTTGTAACCAATGTAAACTGTAAACAATGTGACATGTCTCTGCATGTTGCTGAACCCCCCCCCCCCCAAAAAAAAAAAAAGCAATAGGACTCTGAAGGCAAAATGCACACACACCTATCAGCTAACCGTCCGATCTTTTGACCGTCCCTTCAACCAAAAAACAGACATGCCACTCATCTGGAAAGATATTTCCCCAACCTCCACACACACACACACACACACACACACACACACACACACACACAAAGACACACACATACACACGCATGCACATAAACAGACACACCTAAATGCAGAAACATACCTGAACTGAATCATAGAATCTGGACCCCTGGCCGGGATTCTCTTTCTTTGGTTCACGTTTCAGGGATCGATCTGTTTTTCCATCTTCATATACCTGAAAGGGGGTGGGGGTAGAACAGGGAAAGAAGTGGGGGAGGGGAGGTAAAAGTGACCCAACATGACATATTATATGCGTGACAAAACACAAATTCTTCACAACGACAGGTCACACATAATGAAATGCACTCAACCCCCCCCCCCCCCCACCCCTCCCCCCAAAGTTACCATACTAACCATTCCAGCATGAACTTGAAATTTAAAAGTGCTTTTGTTTAGTGAAAGTTTTTGGCACTTGCAACACAAGTGGGTCATATAAGTGCCAAAAATTAGAGGCATTACAAGAGAGAAACATACAAGGGATAGAAAAAGGAAAGATAAGGACGTCAATAGATGTTTGATAGGAAAGAAGGAGCAAAGCACACCAGAGCACCCACAACCACTCACAATAAGTACTTTTGTAGGAGATGAAAGCTCTTTTTTGAAGAGGGAAAGGACTGCCTATTGTTGGATTTCAGTCAAATAAGGACCCAGTGCAAGAGAACACTTTCTAAAGTTACTCAAGTGGGTCGATGACAGTGTGGAATAGTATGTGTAAGTGTATGGATTTAACAACGCCATCAACACTATTAGGTTATTTAACCCTTTTTGAGCCATATACCGGCCTAAACTGGCCTTCGCGACATATTGCCATACCGGCTTTTACCGGCCTGACACACCCGCTTTTAGTGTAGGCTTGGAGATAAGAACATTCCAGTCTAAATTTAGATGCTGATGTCCAAGGTCTGTGTATGTGAAATTTCATCGAAATACGTCGCTTACATCAAAAGAAAAAGCAATTTCTTTGCTACGCCCCCTAAACTTCTGAAAAACACTGAAATAATTTGGTTCTGGGAAGCCATCAGCTGGCTGCAATTTTGGTCCTGTTGTGCTGACCTGCTGACCTATCTATGGTGCTAAGAGGGTTAAGAGGTGGGACCAAACCAAATGGGTTGAGAACCTTGAAAACCCCACAACACATCCCGAATTCAAGAATGCCCAGTCTGGGGTTCAAACCAGGGCCATGCGATCCATGGCTCAACAGGATTCCACCTGAGCTAATGTAGTGTCCACAGTGTAGAATATTAACAATCATTATGAGAGAACACAAAAGGGATTGGTATGGAAATGTCTCACACAACATTATGAAAATGCAATCCAATACAATAAGGCTTACTACAAGAGAATGCACAAGGAAACTAAAGGTAACTAAAATTTCTGACACAATATTGGAAAAATGCAACTCAATGGATTGTTTGTTTGAGTAAAGAGAGGCAAATTTACACAAACATAGTCATCTAGTGCAAGCAAAAAGCAAGTCAGGCAGACAAAAACAGTGGGTGGTTGGCGGGTGCTTTGATGTGGTTTGCTTCTTCTTTCCTATAAAACATCTATCGTCCTTTTCTCCCCTCCTTCTTTTTTATGTTCGTTACTCTCTTATTGTAACACCTCTAATCTTCTGGCGCTCATATGACCTTATGCAGTTGCGAGCGCCGTAAAACCTCTACTAAAACAAGACAGGGAACAGAAGTAGAACTTACCAGTGGCACCCTCCCACCACCAGCAGTGGAACTAGGCTCACTACAGTGAGTCAAATAAGAATGATTTGACATCTTAAGTAAGAAGGCTCTTGGTGTAGGCCAAGCAGTCAGAGATCTTGCTTAATTTGGGTTACTTTCAGATACCATTCATGTTTCTAATATGCAGACAAGCAGTTTATATGATGTTACATGACTTTATACTACATTATGCTAAATCTAATTTGGCTGATTTCAGGGGAAGATGACATATGGACATTTGGTGGCAATTGTCACGCCCTCCCTCCTCCTCCCTCACCCCCCACTCCATACCATGGTACGGTGCCATTTGGTACTGCATAGCTGAAAGTGGCAGACTGCATTTGCATGGCATCTCAACACTGTGAAAAAGTTTTCCCAAAGATTGACTTGTGCATAAAAACCCTTGCAAGCCCATCTTTTAACTCATTCGCTACGCCGAGCTGTGGGGGGCGGCGCGGCTAGAGTGCCGTCAGTACGCTTAGCCGCCCCAGGCGGCTCGAGAACCGACGTTCAATTTTAGAGGTTTCTATTCCAATCCACATATCCATGTTAAAATAAAGGTCATAATATAATGTTGACTTCCGGGTCAAGCGTTTCCACTGAAAATCGTAAGTTTTGATTCCGTTTTGAAACACGATTTCGAAGTTTATGCGACATTGTTTTATCGCGAAGCCCAATTTATAGCCGGACACCAGTATTTGTACTTTTACACAACAAAATGTATCATTATTTTGCTCACTAAAGAAGTGTAGGACTCTTCTTATAATATTGATACTACTGGACTCAAATTGCCAGTGCACTGTAGTTGAGAAATCAATATTTTTGAGTGCTAGATCTAGGCCTAGATCTAAATAGTCAAAATATTTTTTTTCTCTCCAAAATCACTACTTTTTGGTGAATTTACTCAAAAAGTACCATCCAAGACATGTATAGGTTTATTCCAAATGCAATTCTGAATAATTCTATATAAGATACAAGTGTTTTTTTTCTGTTTGGGATCCTTTTTTCAAAATTATTAAAAATGTTTTGTTTTTTCAATATCGGAGTTTATGATCCAAATGTACAAATATTATGGAATGTATGTAAATAACTGCTCATTTTTCCATATTTTCCTGTTCTATATACAGTTATGGTTATTTTGATGTGCAATTTGACTAGGTGCAAACATATTTTTTTAGTTTCATCTGAGATTATACGTTTTTTGTTTTCAAATTTTATCCGCAGCCAATCACAATTGTGTTGCATAATCGCCTCTTACAGAAACCAAAGTTGAAAAATACTCAAATAAACAATACAGATGTATTCTACAAACCATACTGAAAATGTTGGTATATAATATGTTGATATTTATTTGAATTTATGGCCCCCAAGACCTGTGAACTGCGCACTAGTCATCATCTCATTTCGCCCTCCCGAAAAAAATTCGTCCACAAGCCGAAAATAATACATAGCGAATGAGTTAAAGAATATGACAGCTGATATACTAGTGACATCCGCCTGATATTTTTGTGAATTCTGTGATGTTATAACTGAGCATCATGACCCCCCCCCCCCCCCCCCATCCCCAAATTAATAAAAATTAAAAAAGAATTACTGAACAAGTCACAAATTGAAACGTTTATAACAAGCTCCCCTACCTTTGATTCACCGAGCAAAACCCTTGTAAGAAGAATCAGCTCATCTTTTGTGCCTCTCTCTGCATACATAAGGCATTTTTTAGGATCATCACTGTTGAACATCACAAAGAAAATATATATTAAAACAGATACCCCTGATGAACAGTAAATATTTGCACAAAACTTTAAGGAGCCCAACTGAGGTAAATTGCAATACAGTAGTCTCCGCCTAAGATCCCGGTGCTCGGGAGCAAGGAAAAGCGGGATCTTAGGCGAACCGGGATCTTAACCGACGAACCCAGGGAAGAATCTATGGTGACCCATGTTAAGGCTTACAATCGGTAAAATGGTCTCCAACAATCTCTAAAATGAACTGACGTGACCGCTTTGTGGGTTTATGACGTATGGCGAGGAAAGAGTGGTTAACCTTGATGACCTATCACAGGGCATAGTGGGATGAGGCGTGCCATTTTCACTTATTATCCTATCATGAGGCTCAAGATCTACGTTTATCAAGTTGCCCCTCCCCTCCCCCTTACCTGTCGAAAATTTATAGCTTTCCATCTCCCCCAACCGCCTTTGTCGTTACACACCATTACGTTGTGAACACACCAATTAAAATTCAGTCTGTCTCGCAAGTTCGGGAGTAGAAACAACTTCTCCAATGGTCAGGGAAGAGTTCACAGTTGAATGTGATCCCGCCAGGAGCGAACGTGTAGGCCCTACCCACCCAATGAGTGATGTAAGTTTATGGGGATAGCTCAGGTGTGAGTGAGATGTTCGGGGAAAACAAACGTGTCGGTCAGTTCACACCCCGGTGTGATCCCGTCTGGGGCAAACATTGTATCGCTTCATCGAGTTTTACAACGTGTATGTGATCACATTCACGATAGCAGCTGATCTTTGATGCGACGGACAGTTTATTGATCTCAAATTTTCACTCTTGGTTGATCGGCTGTCCCGCCCGGGTTTTTCCCCGCAAAAATTATGACCTGAAATGCGGGATCTTAGCCGAATGTAGACCTTCAGAGTGAATCAGAGCGGGATCTTAGAGGTGACTTTTGTGTAGTATAAATTCTGTTTTCTTAAATCAGCGGGATCTTAAGCGAACCGGGATCGTAAGCGGTGGGATCTTAGGCGGAGACTACTGTATATACAATGGACATATCTGTGTATAGCTTGGAATGAAAAGATTATCTCTTTCTAAAAGCAAAAACAAAAACACAGTAATAAAAGTACCAGAACAAAGTGAATAGATCTAACACAAATTTCTGCTCTAATTTTTAAAATACAGTGAAACCTGTGTAAGGTGGAATCGCAAGGGACCCAGAAAAAAAATTCCGTCTTAGACAGGGGAATTTAGGGGGAGACAGAGGGGGGTTTCACAGGCCCAGCAGGTGGGATCAAGGATTGCTTGTCCAGTGGGCAAGCAGTGATCAAAACTTCACACCTAAAGGGCTATCCTAGTCTCTTTGATAACGGCATGCATCTGTCCAGCTTATTCATCGCACCAGTGCATTTCATAGGACCACTTTTTTACCTATTTAAAATATAAACGACTGAATATCTCCTTTGTTTCTATCCTTAGCATCACCCATCGGTGTAAGTGTAAAAAGCAGATTCAAGCAATTCCACTCATCCCGTGCATATGACAATGATTTGAGGATCTTTTTTCTCAGTTGCCCAAACGACTCGAGCAGCAGGCATTGGTCAAACAAATTTCCCACCTCTAACCTCTGGCTACCCAGGAGAGTTTCCATGCTAGAACGCCATTCAAGCACTTTCACAGGCACTGGTGAGTTTTCACATCCACATCACCCTAACAATCTGCACCACTCAAGGCTCACATGGATGGGGCAACATCTACCCCAAAGTCGCACCCCTATTTCCCTTCCTCGTCAGCTGGCATGGCATTAAGGTTAGATGAGTCGATGGAACCAAACTTGGGAGCTTTGTTTCAAATCAGGGCTGAGTGAGCAAAGCATTTTCCATCTAAGATAAGCAAAAACCCTTCAAGGGGAAGGAACTTCTCTTTCCGTTTCCGTGTTAGGCAGGTCTCCATTCTATAGAGGTAGTTATAGAGGTATTTATCAAGAGGGGAGCAGGGAGATTCCGTTATGATAGGTTTCTGTCTTACACAGGTTTCTGTTAAGTCAGGTCCGACTGTATGTAAACAAAGCATCAAGCAAAATCCAAACTATCATAAAAAGACATACTTTGTATGTGAAAGGAACAAAAAATAGGTGTTAGGTCAGCAGCACCGAATAATGAACTCACCCAGCTCATTTGCATATGAGCTGGGCCATGTGACTTTGTTTCGATGTGTATGCATCTGGCTGTGCATGACTTCTCAGGACGCAGCATTTTAAGGTTTTAAAAAAAATTCTGGAGACCTCCTCAATAATCGAAACTGAAGAAGCCGAAAGTTTTCTTGTACTTGTCATCATCAAAACAATCATCAGCAAAATAAATAATAGTTACAATGTTTCCCAATAGAATACATGAAATTCAATTCAAGGTATGGTTTTAACAAACATTTCTGTGAGTGTACAGTAGCCAGGAGAATACACTGCCACTGAGTTCAACTTCAAAATTCATGAGTAGATAGCTAAACATGATCTTTTTTTTTTAGAGTGAATGGTGAATTTCCTTTACAAGTTTAGAGTCTTTTCACAAGCATTGACTAAACACATAGTAATGGAATGTATTCTGAATAAATATTACAGAAAGCTGTGTAAAAGAAAAATAGATTGAAATTCAAAATCTCAAATTTCCTTTCTAACTTTTCCCATCTGACTTTGTACTCCTGATTTCTTGTTTAACATAAATCCTGAAAAGACTCTTTTAATCTTCCTCTACAACAGCTAATTAAATCATTTCCGCCAAAAATTTGTGTTTCACTTTAAGAGTGATCTCTGCACATAATTAAAAAGAAAATCTCCCACAAAATATGAGTATACCTGAAATAGATACCCTTTCCAAATAGACCTTTGCTTGCCAATCGATTGTCCATTCCTTCTTGAAGAAACACCTCCTTCGATTCATTTGTCCCATGGTACAAGTACACTTCATTCAGACTGAAATTTCGCTCTGGTGATTCCAAAAAGAGGTTTGGTATTAAATATACAAAAGTCTCAAAAGCCAAAACTAAAGTGAATGCATTTAAACTGCTTTCCAGGAATTATTTTCATTTTCCTTGTATCACAGTAAAGGAAAAATAGAAAAGTACACTTTTCTCTCAGAATATCATCATACAAGTGATCCTTTTCCCAAAACACACATGTGACATATGAGCCGCTCTAGCATATATTTATATGTGTACAGACAACCACAGACCTCCCCATGATCACCTGTAAGTTTTTGCAGGAGAAAGATCACCAGACATTGGTAAACCGTAATGTGAGTCTGTGTGTGTGTGTGTGTGTCTTTGTGTGTTGAAGTGGATGCAAATGAGCACATGAGCCAGAATCAGCATCTGCAGCCATCTTGTACTTAACCAGTAAATATGAGTCTAAGTCAAAATGAAAGCTTTGCAAAGACTTGTAGGCTACCCGTTCTTGTGTACATCAAACATGTCACATTTGGCACAGAAAACTGTGACCCTATTGAAGATTTCTATAAAATCTACTATTAAAACATCAGAAAGAATATGTAATCCTCAATTCGCAATGACTATCTGCACAGCTTTCCCTTAACACCCCTATTAGTATTACATATAACCCTATTGGTGGGTAGTTGGTAGGTGCTCTGGTGTGGTCTGCTCCTTCGGTTCTATCAAACATCTGTTGTCCCTATCTCTCCTCCTTCTTTTCTTTGAATATTACCCTCTAGTAACACCTCTAATTTATGGCACTTCTATGACCTATTTGTGGTGCAAGCTCTGTAAAACTCTTACTATGATGAAAGCCTTGGTACCCCTTTTATCACCTTATGAAGAGCACTATAGATAGAAGGTCAGATTTTCCTCTCTGTTTGCTGGTTGTCAGACTTCACCCGTACACATGCAAACATCAGGAAATGTCGACTTGGGATTCCATGAAAGACCTGAGCACAGTGGTCTCTGCCTAAGAACCCTGTCATCACGAGACAGAAAAAGCAGGCTCTTGGGAAGACGGTGGATTTCTAGGGATACAACAGATCCCATCCATTAGCTTCCTTCTTTCATCTGTGATGAAATAATGTACTAATGCCCAAGGGAAGGTAGAGAGGTTTGCTTAAAAAAAAAACACAAAAAAAACCTGCATGCGTGCATGTCTGAGTGGCATGCATCATTTTGGGAGTCAGTGAGAACCAGGGTCTTCTGAGTGAATTTTTACAATGTAACACTTTCAGGACGATTTGACAGAATATTGAAACTAAGAATAAAATGGTTTGGCCACCTGTTATGTATGTCACCTAGCCAGCCAACCTCGAAAGCCTATAATACCAAGCACTCAGGCTATAAAGGAAAAGAGGAGGCCATGCAAAAGGTGGACTGAGGACATCAAGGAAACCCTGAGAAACCATAATATCCCAATTGAAAGATCTGGGTATCTGGACTACAGCAGAAAACTGCGTCTCCCCTCGACACTTATAAACGGCAACAGAGGATGATTGTATAAATCGAAAATTACTGGACAATTGACTTGTTCCATTGAGCTCACAGGTGTGCCTAAGAAATCATCTCATGAAAATGTGCATGTAGTGTATAGATTTCATCCTCCACTGGTCCATGCCAATCGCCTCTCTCCCTTTGCCCCAACCCCTGCAAAGTGTTGGAAAGCAGCTAGGACAAGTTCATTGCTCTTAGCTCAAAAAAAGATTCCTAGGAGGATTTCTGTTCTTAGATTGGTTCTTAAGAATTCAAATCATAGAGAAAAAAGTATGTTAGACAGTAAAAGCGGGTTCTCTGGTAGAGACCATTGTATTTAGTAAATGCTTTTGAAGAAAGGTAAAAATACTACATATGAAAGTCTGACGTGGAAATTATAAAAGTCACTTAAGATCATAGAAGTGTCAAGGTAGAAGTTTATCTAGTGCACTTTTAAATCATTGATGAAAAGATTTTTTCAAAAAGTAAAATAAAAATTCCATATGTCACCTCTTGCTTTCCTCTTGTTTAGAAAACCTTTTTCATTCTCATATTCGTCCCGCAGAAAATGATTCTTAACTTCTAGCACCTTCACAACATTCAGCCCAGCTTTTTCAAAGTCTGTTTTGATGCCATCAAATACAGGTTTTCCTTCAGAAAGTGTTTTAAAAGTCACGGTGCCCTGTATCAGCTTTTTCAGAACATCTGGACACTTGCCGGCAAGTCCCTCAACACTTGTATTGGCTGGAGCCGCCATTTCCTTACTGGGTTCTGAAAAAAAGAAAATATTAAACTAAGATTTGCTGCTTTTTTGGATATTACCATGCATTTTGTTTTATTGTTGAATGTAAAGAAAACAGAATGCATGGTAATATCCAAAAAAGCAGCAAATGCTAGTTGAAATCTCATTAGTAAAGGTGAAAAGATCAAACAAGTCCAACAGTTTAAATATCTAGGATATATGATAACATCTGATGCCAAATGTTCCACAGAAATAAAAAGGAGAACTACAATGGCTAAGGCTAGTTACAATAAAATGAGCCCAACCCTGAAAAATAGAAACATCTCAATGAACACCAAAATGAAAGTCCTGAAATGCTATGTTTGGTCAACCCTTCTATATGGCTGTGAATGCTGGACAATCACTAAAGACAGTGAAAATAAAATAGAAGCAACAGAAATGTGGTTTCTTAGGAGACTGTAAGAGTATCGTGGAAGGAAAAGAAATCAAATGAGGTAGTGCTTGATGAAGCCCACACGTGGGACGCTCAATGTTAAAAACAATCAGGAAACGACAAAAATGCAGTTTTTGGGACACCTGAACAGACATGGGTCTTGAACATCTAGCTCTCACTGGCAAAACTGAGGGCAAGCGAGGCAGGGGTAGGCCCAGAACAACATACTTAAGGAACCTAAACAAATGGGTAAAAGAAAAAGATCAGGGAAACAGCTTTTTTTTAGAGCATCCGAGCAAAGGAATGAATGGAAAACCATGGTCGCCGATGTCTGTCACAGATCTGGCACTGGATGAGGATGATGATTAAACTAAGGTCTATCATGAGCTATACTCTATATAAATCACATCAAAAAAATTGTTTTTGATTCAAAACTTATAGAAGTTCCAGGGCACTATAACATACTCCGAATCTTGGTATGAAACGAGCATGGCATACAGTACTGAACAGTATATCATAATATAGTATACTGATGATCTTAAATTGCTAGTGCCATCTCTAAGCAATAAATAATTTTTAGTTGTATAGTAGCAAACATTTTCACTAGGCGTTCATATAAATATTTATATATACAGTCGAACCTGTGTAAGACAGAATTGCAAGGGAGCCAGAAAAAAAATTCCGTCTTAGACATTTTCAGCCTTTGACAGGGGAATTTAATGGGGAGCTGGAGGGGGAGGGGGGGTGGGGGTTCAAAGACGACAAAGACCAAGCGGTGGGATCAAGGGTCGTTTGTCCGGTTGCAGTCACAAGTGGTCAAAACTTCACACCTCTCAGCTGCTATCCTCTCTGCTAATGACATGCGTCAGTCTTATTTATCCAATTACCACCAGTGCTTGCATTTCATATGACCACTGTTTGACCTATTAAAAACAGAAACATTTGAACATCTCCTTTGCTTCCACAGCTTAGCCACACCCATCGGTGTTAAAAGCACAGTCAACCCCTCATTGCCATGTAGCAACTATTAAAAGAACTGATCTCTTCTCAGCTGGCTGTATGATTGAGGCGACAGGCATAGGTCAAATTATTGTTAATTTCACACCTCTGGCTACCAAAGATCAAAGTTTCTGCGCTGTAGCGCTACTTCAGCACTTTCACTGGTACTCGTGAGATTTCACACCTACACCACCCTAACCATATTCATCACTCAGGGCTCATATAGATGGGGTAACATCTATCCTCAAATTGCACCCCTACTCCCCTTCCTCGCCCAGCGGCATATGGTGTTAAGTTTAGAGCCAGCGGATGGAACCAAACTTGCGAGTTTTGTTTCAAACCAGGAATGAACTGGCAAAACATTTTCCGTCTCAGACAGGTAAAACCCTCGGAAGGGATCCGAGCAAATTTTTCTTTCCGTTTCTGTGTTGGACAGGTTTCCATTTTATACAGGTAACTAGAAAGAGGAATCAAGGGGAGAGCAGGGGGATTCCGTAAAGACAGGTTTCCATTTTACACAGGTTTTCGTTAAGGCAGGTTCGACTGTGTATAGGCCTATATGTGAGGCAGCGTAGTGAAATCAAGCGCTCGTCAAATTAATGAAATCCCAGAAATAGGCATTTTTTTTCCAGTTTGGAGATTTTTTTCAAAATTTTTTTGGGGGGCTCACTATAACAACCGGTATACGTTTATTCAAAAACACTTTTAAGAGTGAATTCTATGGAAAAACGTTGACTAAAGGCACAAAAAATGGGAGTCTGCAGTTTCCAAGGACTCTTTGAGCTATGGAAGTCATCAAACTTTGGCGACCATTTTCTCGCTAATTTTACTTCTGAAACTAGGCGACTTCACCTCCTTCAATCGCAAGTATATCTCGATTTCTATTCAAGATAAATGCATATTTTTTTCATTGAACACAAGGCAAATGATCAAATTCAGCCTTTAAGATGACAGAAATCCATAGGCCAAAAATTGACGAGCGCCAGATTCCACTGCGTCGTGACACATGGAACTTGACAAAAAATGAATCCTATTCTCACTGTTTCATGGGAATATCAATTTATAGACTTAAAAAAAAACAAAAAAACAAAAAAACAAAAACAAGGCATAAAAACTACTAAATATAAAACTGTAAATTGGCTCTGAACACATCTACCTCTTCATAAAGTATATTATTCACAATACTCAATTATAGACCCTATATAAGCCTTTTTCCGTTGAGTTTGAGAGATCACGCGCCATTCATTTTCATCATTTTGATAACATATTATTATGCATAATATGAAAAGAAAGCCTAGGCCTAGACGCCCTAGATCTAGATCTAGTTTGTTGGAAACAATTGTTTTAACATTTCTGAACTAGAAATAATAATAAATACTAGATTCTAGATCTAGATATCTAGAGATAATCTCCATTTCATTTAAATATAAAAACGATAAAATATATAGAGTATTATAGAGCTAGATTTCTAGTATGGACTAGAATAAGACCCTAATATTCAATCTATCTCAACAAAAGAGCTAAACAGCTGATCCACATCTCGACCTGATATCAAGACTACATGTCAGCTTCAGAAAAGTTCTAGGTTAATTTAATCTTTTTACTTCTCTTATCAGCCGAGATCGTGTACGCCCATCGCCATCGTTCTCATCAGGCTCGCCACATTGACACAGCCATGGCAGTCATCGCGACTGATTCAACTTCTAGATCTACATCGACATAATTTATGACCTGTAAACTCCTGAGAAAAGCACAGAATCGCTTAGTAATAAAGATTTACCTTATTAACTTGTTCCTGAATTTAAAGAGCACTTTAAAAATTTAGAACCAAGCTCATAATTCAATTCCTCGTTACACTATTCACCTTCTCACTTCCAGTTCCAGTTTCTGATAGGGCCGGACGACAACGGGGAAACGAGAACAAGTTAGGCCTATGGGGGTTTCCAGGAAAACTTTCTATTTATAGTCTAACCTATACAACGAAAATGTAGCCTAGGCCTAGGCAGAGGGCACAGAAGTTTGCGGAGAACAAGTTGTAGCAAATCATTATCCTTACCGGAATAGCCCTGGATACTTAAAGTTCTGAAATTATAATTAGTCCTTTGGCTCAACCTTTTAGAAAAAACAACATTAACCCAAAATATTATAGTTGTATCAAGAAATTTCAAACAGAGGACAATTTCTGGCACCACTCTTCATCAAGAGATGCGCACACTCGCGCGAATACACACACACACACACACACACACACACACACACACACACACGCGCGCGCGCGCGCGCGCGCACACCAAAACGGGAGTGACTATACGCACGCAATTGCGTGCACCAACACATTTTTTTTTGCTATACAATACGCACGAAATTGCGTGCACCAATACATTTTTTTCTTTTGCTATACGCACCCA